TATTATATATATATATATATATATATATATATATATATATATATATATATATATATATATATATATATATATTATATATATATATATATATATATACTGTATATTTATATTTGTTTTATGAATAGCAGAGGTCCCAGGACTTCACTATCACCTCATCCTCAGGTATAAGCCATGCAGCAAGAATTTTGCAATCATTCGAACTCTGTCTTTGACATTGTTAAAGAGAGTTAATGAAATGCATCTCTTAGTGTCAGACTCAATAAAACTGTAAAAATTAACTTTGGAAAGTTCATTTTTAAACTTCCTTCTCTATATTAATTATTTACCATCCATTACTACATTTATTTTTTATTTTCTTGAGTTAGCATACCTTCCCAATAGCTTTTTGACTTCCAAGATGTCCCTTCTCATAATGAACAATACAAAGAGGAGGATCATTTTTGAAGAGTGTGAAGACAGTCTTGCTAGCTGGAGGCAATGGGTAAGTGAATACCGTCTTGGAGTCTCGAAGAACAAACCTTTCCATAAGAATTGATTGCACCTTGTAGTAGTATTCTCTCACCCATGGTAATGAATCACTGTAGGGAACTAACAACAAAGATTCAACATTAAGAAACAAATTATAAAAGGTAAATAATATATATTTTACAAAGAAATGCTATAATGGAAAATACGATATGCTATGTTACATATGATCAAATGACTTAAGACAATGCAAACTGTTTAAAAAAAAATGGTCTTGGCAGTCAATGAAAACCACAGCTTAATACTTAGTTGTATGCATGTTTATATGAATTTATGTATGAATACTGTAATCAAATACATGCAAGAGCTTGAACATAGCAGGAATGAGTGTAAAATTTTATGCATTTGACATTTAATCTTCTGCCCTAGTAATTATAAATATAAATTTGTGGATGTGTTTTATAGTGCTTGTGTAAAACAAATTACTTCTAGCATAAGATATTTCAAATAGAAGAAACGTACATTAAAGATAAACTTACCAAAGCTCTTATCAAGAACATAAATATTTCCATACTGAGGCATTTTCACTTCATTCTTGTGGACAATAATTTCCCCTTTCTGTACTCTGTCTGTTGAATAAACATACAATTCATTGAGCTTGTAAACTTATGTCATAGTAGTGGAGGAAGGCAAAAACATAACTAATGAGATTATTAATGTCTTTACTAGATGGCACTGAAATAGCCAAAGTACCGGGATGACTAAATGGATGTTAACATGATAGGCAGAAAACATAGTCAATAGGTTATACTGGTAGAGGCATGATATTAACCACTGCACTGCGCAGGGTGCCCAAAGGCGCTAGATCAAGGGTGTTCACAGTGCTATATGGCGAGCGTAGGATTTAAAACTGGTGCGCGGTCACTTGGGTACAACATTGATGCCTGAGGCCACCAGTGAGCGTCTGCCATTTTGAAAACAATTTCCAGCATGCCCCTCAGCCATGGGGAGCCTCAGTTTCAAGGTAGCAAACATGTCTGATGCATAATCAATGAGCTCCTGGTCTGTGGTCAGCTGCATTGTTGAGAAACGACTCTCAGATGCCGAAATACAGGACATATTGTTTGATGAAGAATACCTGTATATTAGTAACATTGAAGACTACAGTCCTGATAAGGACCTGACACAGGCGTCTGACACTAGTGATACGGACATTGAGGTGGACGATGTCGAGTGTGTATTCACCTAGTTGTGCTTGCGGGGGTTGAGCTCTGCTCTTTCAGCCCGCCTCTCAACTGTCAATCAATCCACTGTTACTACCTACTAACTTTTCTGTGGGGAGCCCTGTCGTCTCACTGGAGCTATCCAGGCTGATATTGCTAATGTCAGACTTTGGCATCAGTCATGTGTATAGAGTTTTTTAGGCCTACCGGAGACCACGAGCCAGAACCTGGCCCCCCTCAGAGAGGCACGAGGAGCAATGGCCTATAGAAACCCCCATGTGGTTTGAAGCATTCTATGTCTACCATCGACCAGGTCAGGCACCCAAAAAGGTAAGCATCCCAAAACAAACCCCTATTCTGGTGAAGAAATTGCTACCGAGAGCCGAACTAGTGGACAGAACTCCCAAAATAAAAATGAGCTAACAAGCATGACGTCACCATGTCGTCACACCGCTGTCTGAGCAGCTCTTCCCTCCACGGGAGGGGGAAGGGGGGCCCAAGACCCCTCGTGCTGGCTACTTAAAACCCCAGTTTTGAGGCTGATGCGCTAGGCAGAGATCGTGTGCTCTGGATCCAGACTTGGTTTCAGTGCTATGCCTTGTGGCGTGATAACTGTCTTATAGGAGTGTGTGAGCCAGGAGTAATTCTTCAGTACTCGAGCTGCATGCGCCTAGGGTTCCCTTCCTTAGGTGCCTGTTAAGTACTGTCCTTGGGGCTTGGGACCACCTTCCACAAGTTTCTTGGGTTCTGCCTCTGCTTAGTCGTTTACGGCTCGGTTTTCAGCCGCTCTTTGTGTGCTAGGGTGTTCCGACTTAGTTCCTGACTTTGTTCGCCTTAAGGTAGAAGGCAGTTTGCACTGTAAATGGCGCAGGGTACTACACAGCTTGTTTTCACCGATCATAGCGGCCGGCTCTGTTCCGCCTTCGTACGCTGTCCTCTTGCGGAGTTTTCTTTTTTCTTTTTGTTGCCTGCCTGGTGGGGGGGAGGGGGGTCTGCCTTGGTTGTTGCCCCCTGTGTTCTGAGTACTCTTCTCTATTTCAGAGGTACCTCCTGCTTGGTCCCCGTGAGTTTACACGTCCCGAGGGTTCAGTTCTTAGATAGTTGTTTGGTAGACTTGGGCACCGGTTAGCAGTACCCTGCCTGGGCTTCCCTGAACGTGAGTTCCATTTCAGGGCCCTGGGAATCCCAATGGGGGCGCGAGGGTCCAATAGATGTCACCCCTTGTCTCAGGGTGACTCACTATTTTTGCCTCCAACTGCTGCCTTTTGGGTCGGTGGCACCTTCAACTCAGAGTCCTGTGGGTTTTGTTGCCTGTTTGTGACTCAGTTACCTAGTCCTATGCCAACTATACAGTACTGGCAGCAACTGTGTTGCACAGTCGGTTCAGGTGGTTGCAACACGCTACATTGTTTGCTCCCTGGAAGTCGCGAGGCTGCCCTGTTTTGATTGTTGTGACCGGGGCTTTGGGGTATTGGTCGCTTTAGTTTTGTTTCCATCCGTGTCCCCTTGTCTTCCCATGTTGTGGTTTAGTCTGGAAACCCCCCTCCCTTCTTCCCTGCATCCGGATCAGCACCATCTGTGGTTTCGGGGTCGAGGCGGGGTCTCGATGGTCTTGAGACTTGGGTGGTCTAGGGAATTTCCTCTTACGGGATAGCAACGGAGGCATTTGAGCCTGTTCCTCCAGCCGTGACGTATGGGTCTGCCAGTGGGCTTCCTTCCTTAGTATTTCTCTGGCTGCCCCGACTATTTCTTATGAGGCTGGGGCTTTTGGGGAATGGCTCAGCCTGGATCCTGCTGTGGAGGTTCCCGGGGCTGCGGAGAAGCTGACTTGAGGGCCTTGGTCCCCGTTGGAAACCGCCGGGGATTTTTTCTACCCTCTGAGCAGGACTTGCAGTTACGGGGAGTGGGTTTTTTCTTTTCCCCCCTCTGCATAAGAGTTGCTGGGCGTCGGCCCCTCCTCGGGTTCGGTTCCTTGTCCCTTCGGGTCTGTCGGTTCCGTCCTGTCGGTGTATACTTGAGGTTATCTTGAGGTTATCTTGAGATGATTTCGGGGCTTTAGTGTCCCCGCGGCCCGGTCCTCGACCAGGCCTCCACCCCCAGGAAGCAGCCCGTGATAGCTGACTATCACCCAGATACCTATTTTGCTGCTAGGTAACAGGGGCATAGGGAGAAAGAAACTCTGCCCATTGTTTCTCGCCGGCGCCCGGGATCGAACCCGGGACCACAGGATCACAAGTCCAGCGTGCTGTCCGCTCGGCCGACCGGCTCCCTATCTCCCTACTCTTCTCCGTTTTCTCACCCTTCTTCTCTGGGACATGAATTCTACATCAGGTCGAGGTCATGTTCCCCTCGTATTGAGGTCCTGCATGACCTTTGGTCTCGGGTACGACTGTGCATTTATGAGCCTTCGTGATTTTGTGTTTGCTTCTGTAGGATCTCGAAGGTTCGGGAAGGACTTCGATACTTCCCGTATTCTTTGAACGTCTGTCGTCTTCCGGTGAGGCTTACCTTTAGTCCTTTCTTGGACTCAATGGTCCTCTTTTGTGCTTCTTTTTGGTTTTCAGTACTATCTTATTCTTTTGTACTTATATTTTCTCTCTGTGCTCTGTCTAGGCATTGATAATACAGTGGCACCTCGATTAACGAGTTTAATCCGTTCTGGCCCCAAGCTCATTATGTGGAAAAATCGTCTTAAGAAACAAATTTCCCCATTTAAAATAAAGGAAATATGTTTAATCCGTTCCACTCCCAAAAACATCCATACTTGTATGACATTTTATAATGTAAATATAATACTGCACATGTAATTATAAATGTTTTGTTGTACAGTACTGTTTTCATGTTTACTTTACCTTATGAAGAGTCGTTGCTGGCTTGAGGGAGATGGTGGAGAGGTGGGAAGGAGGAGAGGGGTTATGGTGTGGAAGGAGAATCCACCTGTGAGTCAGGCGGGCTCTCTATTCTTGGGAATTTCACCCCACTGGGACCGGGTTGTGGTTCACTATCACTTACTGGTCTTTACTTTGCAAAGAATGAGTCTATTGACAATTGCTTTTGTCTTTGTTTTATGATGTTCCTAAAACGAGACAGGAAACTGTCATTAAACATGTTCACACACCGTGTTGTCACTGCTTTATCAGAGTGATGCTTTTCCAAGAATGCAGTCACCTTTTCAAACATTCCCAACACTTCCCTGATCTCACTGGAAGAGGCAGCATCCTCCCTTACCTCCTCCCCTCCTTGTGAGATCAGTCACAGACACCACACTCATGCTTTGCTATAATCTCCTCCTTCAAATCCACAGTAATTGTGTCTTTCTTCCTCTTGACAACACTGTCTTCAGCAAGCAGCTTCTTTGGCGACATCGTGCATTACAAGTTGTAGTCACAAAACCACAAAAAAGCAAAGAAAAGCACAAATAAATGCAGAGGGATGCTTGTCGTGCGTGATACAACAACAACACTGGTGTCGGAAGCGTCCGAGAATTTGCAAGAACCCACAAGACGCTAGGAAGCACCATGTGGTTTTGCTCGTTAATAGAGGTGAAGCTCGTCGACAGAGACAAATTTGCTGCAAGTGGCTCGCTCGTTAATCGTAATGCTCATAGATAGAGTCGTAGATAGAGCAGTGGCATCAAGGTGCCACTGTATTCCTTAAATACTCCTAGTTGGCGCCCTCCCCGCTGGGTGGGTTGTGTGGTTCGGACCTCATGCGTCCTGCACATGCGCTGTGGGAGTTTGTTTTGTTCATGGACAGTGTACACAAGTGTTGGTGTTCTGCATCCTTTTTCTTTCGGGTGATTCACCGTTCTTGCTCCTCTTATCTCTCTAATCAGAGCCCCGTAGATACTGGGGGTTGTTCTGGATTACAAATATGTGGAGGATGCCTTGTTATTTTCTCTGGATACGGGTGTGTGGCGTCGCATCCACCTCTACCCTACTCTTCTCCTGCACATGCGGCTCTGGCCTTATTCCATTAGCAATGCTCCTGAAATATTCTCGGCTACGGTGTGTCGTGACATGATAGTGCCTACGCTCTGCAGGTGAGCTTATGCGGTCTGGCGTCTCTTCGGCCAGGTGCTGGTTCGTGGTTTTTGGTTGTGTTTGGGATTGGTTGTGGCGTTTTGTTTGGCACATTGCGTGTTTCTTCCTGTGACCTTCCTTGTCCATCTGTGTTACTTGTTACACGGCGGGTCACAGTTCCGTCTTTTGAGATCTTTCTTTAGACTTTCCATGCCTGGGTCTTTTCTTGCCTCATGACACTCTTTATTTGACCGTCGTGCTGTGCCTGGTTGAGCTCTTCCATATACACTGGATTCTCTGTGTGTAGTGGGTTTTGACCATTTCGTTCCCGATTACTGCCTATCTTTTTCGTTCCTCATAATGCTTGTACACTCTTGTCCCTAG